CATTGGCCGGGTCGGTTTTGGCGCGCTCTGGCGTCCGCTCTTTCTATTGGTGCGCCGTGCGGGTGGGCAGGGCGCTGGCCTGGGGCTGCCAGCGCTGCCGGGAGATCTACTTTCTGGAGTTCAGGAGCTGACCTGGATGCCGGGCTGCGGAGTTCCGCGTCTCGCTTTCAAAAAAGGACACTGACTTTGGTGACACTGGTTTCTCCTGTGTTCAGTGCTTCCTGTGGATCCTGTCCCATACTAGAGTTTTAATCTAGGTGTGTAAATGGAGTGGGGCATAAAAAGCAAATGCAGGCGCAGGGTTGCTCACCTGAGTGTGGCCAACGTGAAGGATTAAACACAGTCGATCAGTGGCTTTCGACTTCTTAAACACTAAAGCACGCTTCATTTCATAATTTAGGATACAGCCATCTAATTAAATAGAAGTTACACCGGGTATTTTTCAAGTCTCTTCTTTCCCATTCTGTTGAGTTATGTTCTTCTGAATAGTGTTACTCATGACCCTGTAAGTGGTTTTGGCACCCTAGACAGCTTCCCGAACTTTGAAAAACAACACCCCATCTACCATTAGTGGGTCCTGAGCAGCATTTTCTTAGCAGGAAATAGAATGGAAAGTAACAGCGCACCCACTCACAGTTAAGTTTTGCTTCCTGAGCCTTTTGGTTTGCGTCTGTGTGTTGCGTGCTAGGGCACAGGGTAAGTGTGTTCATGTAAAACGTGGGTCACAGCCAGAGTTTGAGAAACAGTACACTGAAGAAAACCGTCACCTCAATAATCAGAGATACCTATTAGAGGACAGATATGGCTAGGGGGTCGGATGCTCAGTGTGCAGGGAGTGTAGCCGGTATTCTGCATAACCACGTTGCATATCTTCCTCTCCTGGTCCCCTTTTACTCAGTTGACTGAATATTAAGTGACTATTACGTAACCGACAGTGCCAAGTTTATCGCCGGTTAAGTTGCCTCTGAAGCAGCAGAGGTGCAGCGCTGGTTGTGGGATGCTCTGTGCATCCTGGAGTATCTGCATTGTGCTTTTCCTGGAGCCCATTTCTCAGTGCTTTGAGATCTCTGTATTCATTTCAGGACACCATCACTTTCTAGGAAATTATAAAGCTACAGTACATTAATATGATTTTTTTATGATTACAAATATTTTTAACAACTCGAGCCCACCTCAGGTACAAACCATATTCTGCTTTTTAATTACTGGTCTTTTGTGCTTCACAGCTGTATAATGAATTCCAGTATGAAGCAGAAACAAGAAGTAATCCAAGAAAATGTAAAGGTATGTGAGCATCACTCCAATGGGTTGTAGGAAGTATGTGATTAAAGTTTTTCTTTTCTTTTAATTTAACAGGTGGAGGTCTTTCTGTATTGCCTAAGCCAGCCCCAAGCCAGTGGGCTCAAGGGGCTGCTCCTTTCTCAGCCTCCAGAGTAGCTGGGACTACTGGTGAAAAGTATTTTTGACAGTTTAGCAAATTTGTCCTGAGATACTGGATTTTTAGAACATTCTGAGTATTTTATTCTTTCTGATACTGTTCTGAATGGCATTGTCTCTTAATTTTATTTCTTCATATGGTCTTTGCTACTGTATAGAAATAAACAAATGTTTGGATCTTGATCTTGTAGCTTGTAACCTTGTTAAATTTGTTTATGAATTCTAATAGTTTTAAAACAGATACTGTAGAACTTCTTATATATAAGATTAACTGCTTTATTTAATCCAGGATATCATTACTTTGTAGTAGATAGATCTATTATGCTTTTTCCTAAAATGATTTTTATTGAACTCTTTTTGTGAATATCTTCAGAATTAGTTTGACTACAGAGACACATTTTGCATTGTTGCATTGTACTGAACATTTTCCAGAGTACATTTTTCATTACTATCCTGATTTGCAGAAACTGGAATCCCTGTCTAATACTGTCACTGGAAATCTTATCCCAAATATTTATTCTTAGGACACAAGGAGAGAGTTTGTTTGATTTTTGAGTTTATGATTTTGACTGGGTCCACTTACATAGCCCTATTTACAAATTAGCTAGGTTCATACAACTTAAACTATGTGAGGATCCTGGAAAGTGAAGCATGTCTTCAGAAAAAGTATTAATTTGCAGATTTAAGTTAGAATAAATAAAAGCCATTGAAAAGTGAAAGCAAACACCTTTTGATAGGTTGTTTTTATTTGGTTTGGTTTTTTCAGGATCCTTAACGCTATTTTCCTTGGGTAGTAATTCACATTGATAAATTGTGAATTTGATTACATCAGCTTTCATTTCATCATTAGGATGATGACATCTTCTCACTGTGCTTTGGGTATGTTTAAACTTTTCATTATAAAGATTTTCAAATTTTCAAAGGTAGAGTCAATTGTATAATCTCAATTTACATCTGCAACTGCAGTGATGATCAATTATGGCCACTCTGGTTTCATCTGTCTCTTCATTTGCTCCCCCTTTCTTCCACTGGATTATTGTACAGCAAATTCCAGGCACCTTGGACATGAAGAGAGTAGTATTTTGTTTGGATCTGATTTTGCTCTTGGAGGGGCAAGACTAGAACTAGAGTGGGTTAGGAAATCAGCCTCAGCCTACCTGTAAAATGAGAGAATTGGACTACAACTAGATATGTAAGAATAAATTTTAATTCAGTATATATGGATTTCTTGCCAGTTGTATGCAGAAATTCTTTGTGTGTTCTTATATATGTATTTGGGGGAGAGAATTCACTTGAGTATCAAGTTGTTTTTTAAAAAGATTAAGACTGGGGTTGGGGCTATAGCTCAGTGTTAGAGTATGCTGGGCTTTGTGTTCAATTACAGTGCTACCAAAAAAAAAAAAGAGAGAGAGAGAGAGAGAGAGAGACTAATAAAACTTTCTTACTTCACAAGTGTATTATTCTAGTGTATAATATGTATAGAAAGAAATGTGATATTCTAGATTTTATAAAGCTTACATGTATAAAAGTTAAATCGTGGAAATTATCTTTTTTTTTGGAGACAGTGACTTATCTGGCTTCTGTGACCATTGTTAACATCAAATATTTAAATAAATTAATATCATATTATTAAGGTTCCAGAGTCTTTTTTTTTATTTGTCTGCAGTTTGTTGACTTAGCTATAATCTAAATTATATCTGAAATGTTGGTGTAATATTTGTTCTCGCGGTAGCTGGCTTTTGTCCTTGAGTTAAATAGTGAGATAATAATCAGCAGTAGAAACTTTACCGTGGGAAAGGTGAACTTTGTCATGTGGAGTACAGTGTGGAATCAGTAACTTTCTCACGCTGGTGTGGTATCATGTTCTTGCTAACCTTGTTTGAGTATTCAGCATTGTTTGCTATCCCATGGTGGCAGTATAACTAATTATTTTTTTGCAAAAATAGAGAGAGCTTTTAGATCAGGAAATATACAGGCAAGTATTTTACATATTATAAGGAAGGCAATATGTTTTCCAAAACAGTAGTTTGGGTATTTTAGAATATTTTAGTAAGCCTGAAGCACTGACACTTTAGCTGTCTCCTAATGAGTAGACTTGAAGCAAAACTGCTTCTGCAGTCAGGTAATGGTTGAGGTGGGTTATCTATTACACATGTACCTTTCTCTCTTTTTTTTTGGTACTGGGGATTGAACTCAGGACCTTGTGCTTGGAGGCAGGCAAGGTGCCATTGAGCTAAATCCCTGGCGAAGGGACAGTATGTTCTTATGTTTTTAATAATTATATTCCTTTTGTGGATACATATAAATGTGTTTGGGAATGTTTACAACTTAATAGGAGGTCTGAGATGAATCTTTTTGATTATAAGAAGAAGTATTTTGCAGTGTAAATTAGCTTTCTCTCCCACTTACCTCTTTTATGAGTTCCTACCATAAATGTTATGATGTTTAGTTTTATAAAAATTGGGCCTGAGATTTAGCTCAGTATTGCTGCCACCTGCCTTGCAAGCGCAAGGTCCTAAGTTTGATCACTGGTACCAAAAAAATAAAAATAAAAATTTTTTTTTGGAGTACTTGTCAGTTTCTAATTTCTGTGTGGAAGGTCTTTTAAAAAAGAAAATACAGAGGGCTGGGGATTTAGCTCAGTGGCACCATGCCTGCCTTGCAAAGCACAAGGTCCTGAGTTCAATTCCCCAGTATCCAAAAAAGAAGAAGAAAATACAGATATTTTGTACTTGAATTTTGTCATACATGGTTTGAATTATTGATCAAAGCTTAGAAAGTTTATTATACATTTGTTTTAACTAGATATGATTAGTTCATATGATTGATTATAGCAAGAGCATATATTGAAATGAGGAGAAAAGTTACTTGTTTGTGTCTAGTTGGAGTGATATGACCCACTCTTAAGAACTTTATTATGCTTTGGGAAATAAGTTTGCCTGTTGTTTAAACCAGTATCTTGTTCATGTGTAGCATTATAAAATTGTATAGCAAGTCAAATGTTAGTGTTCTTAGTATGTTTTTTTTTTTCAAATTTGTATAGGATTAAGATTTCATAGAAATTGAGTAGCTGGATAAACATATAGCAACTCAGTAACAAGATAATTATCTTGACTTTTAGAATAGTCCTGTGCCAAGAAGAACTCTGAAGATGATTCAGCCTTCTGCAGCTGGATCTCTTGTTGGAAGAGAAAATGAGGTTTGTATTCTGGGTCTTAAGAGAGGGGTGACAACACCTTGAATGAAACATTTCCATGGTTTTCTTGGTCTGAAATACATAAGGTATTCAAATTTGGTATCATAAGCAATTAAATAGTCCTCAAAGAACTAGTTTTTGTTTAAGTTTTTAATTTAGATGTTCAAAATTGCTATGAGTACAGATAGTAAAACTGGAATGATGTAATAATTATCTAGTAGGAATAATGTTTGATACTTTGAGAATAAAATGTTAATTCCTTTTATTTATACCTGTGAGTAAATGATGAAATCATGAGTGACAGCATGTTTGGACTTTGGTTTTTGGTCATTAAATCATTTATTAATGATCTGTCAGCTAAAAGTTCTTTTATTGTCCCTCTTTAACTTTGGAAGACAAAGGACTTTTTGCAGGTTGAGAATATTGCTTTTCCATAACTGAACTTAAATATAACATTTCACCAAAAAAAAGTAATTTCAGCTAAACCTTAGACCAAGTTTAATTCATGCTGCAACTAAAATTCTTAAATTGGTACTACACATTTTGGCAGAGTTTTGAATTATATAATTTTTTGAAATAGGTTAAAAAAATAAAGATACTGTATATGAGTTGTTTTTGATATATAATGACAAAACTACCTAGCTTTCTTGTTCACTGAATCAAAGTAAGTAAATGTTTCCTTTATAGTTGCCTAAAGGCTTATCCAAAAGGAGACATTCCAATGACCCATTAACACCTAAGACTTCCAGCTCTGGAGCTGTTATTGACCCAGAATCTAGTGAAAATAAAAACCTCAGAGGAGTCACCCAAGAAGCATTTGATTTGATGATTAAAGGTATGAAAAAAATATATGGTTTTGTCTGAAAAATTTAAATTATAATGTAAGGTAAATATATATTAATACTGTAGTGGATTATACCTATGGCCTCTTAATTTGGGGATACTGTTAGATATTTAAAGTAAGCTATATGTAAAGACTGTAAATTTGGGCAGATGTGACCATTTATTTGGCAAGATCCAAATGTGAGTTAAATATTAAAAGGGCAGTGATTAATGTGGTACTTTTGGTAATAGATTATATTAGGATTTACAAGATTTAGAAAAATGGAGGAAAAATGTTTAAAGGATGAATTTGAATAAAGGAATTTGAATATTCCAGCAGAATATGAAGTAATAGAGCCAATAAGAACAGGGCTGAGGAAAAGTGAGTAAAGATGAATGAGAAAAGCTGGCATGGTGGCACACGGCTTTAATCCCAGCACGTGGGGCGCTGAAGCAGGAGGATTGCCTTGAGTTCGAGGCCAGTTTGAACTTCACAGTGAGACCCTATCTGAAAAACAACAAACAAGATGAATGAGAAGTAATATGCTTGTGATAAATACTAGTTTTAATAGAATGGTAATGGAAATCAGAAGTGGAAGCAAGTGATGTATTATGGAAGATTTTTACTTCTGTACTGATTATAGGTTATAAGATATTATCAAGATGAGAGATTGAGGCTAGAAGAAGTTAATTGACTTGCTCAAGGACACAGTGATATTTAGGTTTATTTCTGAGTTGCCTGAAATACAACAAGGAAGAACATAAACAGATCATGGGGTTTTATTAGGAAAAATTAGGAAAAGTTGACTGGAAAGAAATAAAGAGCTGAGTATCGTGGTGCCTGCTTATAATCCTAGCACTTGGGAGGCTGACACAGGAGGATCTCGGCAGGTTTGAGTTCAGCCTAGACTACATAGCAAGACCCTATCTTAAAAAAAAAAAAAAAGAAAGAAGCTTTTTAATAGTATTACAGAATAAATAATAGGATTTGTGATACTTTAAACTTCATTTGGTTGAAATTAATAAGGATTGGTTTAAAAAAACCACTAATCTTAAGTACCCAAATATTGCTAGTATGACCATAAATAAAAGAGTTTTTTTTCATGTACCTTGTGCGTATAACTGATTTAACATTGAATGGGATGTATTTCAAAAAGAACTGGAAAGGAATCCTGAACTTTAGTAAATTTGTTGTTGGTACTGGTATTAGTGTATAAATATTTTGTGTATATTTTAGGGTTGAGCTCCTGAGTAATATATTTTTTTGTTTGGTTTGGTTTGGTTTGGTTTTTTGAGACAGAGTCTCACTAAATAGTTCAGACTGCTCTGGAACTCACTGTGTAGCCCAGGTTGGTCTCGAACTCACAGCGATCCTCCTTGCCTCCCGAGTACTGGGATTACAGGCGTGCGCCACCACTCCTGGCTCATGAGTAATATGTTGAATATTGTTGGGAGGCAGCTTCATAATGTGGTGAATGGAATGTGGAAGGAAAGGAAGAGCTGTCGAATTGGAGTTAGGGTATCAGTACAAATTGGTGATCTTTAAAAGAAGTAATACATTTCCTACTTCTGCCACCGAAAGGTCCTAGAAACAAATGATCCCAAGTTGCAGGGAGCATACTGGGAATTCAGTTACTGGTTTGTAAATGCTGTTCTCTTTCCGAGGGAGAAATGTGGTAGGTAGTATCCTAATCAAATGATCAAATTGAAGACCCCCAGTTTTGTGATAAATTGTCATGTGCTTTCTGATGATAACACCGAGGATACAACATACTTATGCAATATTCCTTCCAAGAAAATGTTTGGCTTGAATCTGATCATAGATATAAGATTCAAAGTTAAGAACCAGATACGAAGTAGCTAATGTGGACTTTTCAGCAGTATCAGTATTCCGGCTCAGTGACAGAGGGTATGACTAGCGTCTGCAAAGCCCTGGGTCGGATCCCGGGAGTGGTGCGAGTGGGGAGTTAAATAGACGTACCCAAAACAAAAGCTGCAAAAGATCTTTTATTAAAATATTTATTAGTACATGTTTACAATTCATGCAGTTTATGATTATCTTGGGAGTGGTTACATATGCATGTTACAGCTTCTTTCTTTTTTTTTTTTTTAATACCCTTCCCTCCATCTTCCTGACAACAATCTTAATCTGGTTGATACACGTGTATTTATTGTACTTCTGCAGTTCTAGAGGATTGACATCTTGGAATATGGGAAGAGTAAAATAGAAAAAAAGATTGGAATTTTTTTTCTATTGAAAAACATTAGATTTTTGCAATAATGGTTTTTAAAGTTATATGTAAAACACTTTCAGAAAATCCATCTTCTCAATACTGGAAAGAAGTGGCAGAAAAACGGAGGAAAGCTCTCTATGAAGCCCTTAAGGAAAATGAAAAAGTATGTATTAAATATAATTTGTACTGTTTAAAAAGTTTCCAGGATTAGAGCTGGATGTGATGGTGCACACTTGTAATCCACCACTCAGGATGCTAAGGCAGGAAGATCATTGTTGGAGGCCAGCCTGGGCTATATGTGAGAAACTGTCTCAACCCCCTGCCCCAATAAAAAGCGTCCAGGATTGTTTTCCTTTTACTGTGTAACATACTTAGAACAATATAAACTAGCCTTAATGCTAGCCCAAGACAAGTTTTATTAGAAAAGTAACTTGGCTACTAAAATTTCATACAAAATAAATCCTGTGTATTGAGAGGTGACTTTATTCTACAGGTGTCTATCAGTTATGTAGATGGAGGTATATGATTTGGCTTATAGCATAGCAAATTTGCAAAATATTGAACTTTATATTTATATTATATAGCTTCATAAAGAAATTGAACAAAAAGACAGTGAAATTGCCCGTCTGAAAAAGGAGAATAAAGAATTGGCAGAAGTAGCAGAACATGTACAGTACATGGCAGAGGTAATAGAGGTAGGTAATTTAATACTCACCTAATTCAAAGGAATCTATTTTTCTATAAAGTTGAGTAGCAGTATGATCAGTAGTATTTGGGATCTCAAATCAGATTTCTTGCGTTTGGCATTTGAGTCTTAGCTCCCTGCCTGGCGCATTAATTGTCTTGATTAGGACAAGTTATTTATCTTGTTGGGGCTTCATTCCCTTCATCCATAAAAATGGGAGTAGAGTCTGTAATTCCAACACTTGCACTGAGGCAGGAGGATCACTGTGAGTTCGAGGCCTGCCTGAACTACAATAGTGAGACCCTGTATACAGGAATGAATGGATGAATAGGAATAGTAACACCTACATCTGAAAAAGATATGGAAAGTTGTATTTTATAGTTGACATTTATTTGTAGGTGGTGTTCACTTTAATTTTATACCAGAATAACATTAACTTTTCATTTGTAATACTTAATTGGTACACTAAATAAGTTTGGTGGTTTTATCTGACTTTTTAAAATTTGGAAGTAGCTAATGTGTTTTCAAGATTAGCCTCATAACTTAGGGTTAAAATAGGCTTTATAACATTCATGTGGGGGGGAAAAAAAGGTCTGTTTTACTGATAGTTTTTTGAATCAGAACTTTTCTTGGCTGAATTGCAGCCTTAACATTTTAAGAATTGTGACAAAGTTGATGTTTTAAGTTTTTATTTGAAGTACTATAGTAGATTTCTTAACTGCCTTAAAAGTATAGTGGTTCCTGGGTTCATGAACTTGATTTTTCTGAGATTCTGATTACTTGATGCTTTCTATGATCTGGGCACAAACCAAGTTGGAGGAGAATCAAATCAAATTTTAGTGGCTGTGCTGGGGGAGCATGCCTGTAATCCCAGCACTCGGGAGGCTGAGGCAGGAGAATCACTAGGAGTTCCAAGGCCAACCTGAACTACATAATGTAACCCTGTCTCAAAAAAAACTGCACAACAAAATAACCCCAGTTAAAAAAAAAAAAAAAAAAAAAAAATTCAGTAGTTATGTTCACTGTTGAATTTATGGGAAAATTTGATTTGGTTCTTGTCCAGTCCGGTTTGCAAACAGAAGTGTAGTGAAAATTGAGATTGTGAACCAAGATACCACTGTACTGTACTGTTCTCCAGCTGACTACAAATTTAGAACATTGGGTTCCTCATTTCAGCTCATTAGAGAAGTACCGGTTAAAATTATGCTTTGAAAACAAGTGCTTTTAAAAACTGACAATTAAACACTGATTTTGCTGACATAGTCTAGCATGGTAGAGACATTGATATTGATAAAACCCTGTTTATAAGTGAATTTTAGTGAGGGACAAGATGAAAAAAAGTATTAATACAGTATTGAAGGTCACTTACATTGTCATACTGACAATGGACTTGAGTTTTTAAAATTTTTACAATAAGTTACTGGTTTTATTCCTTAAAAGAGACTGTCTAGTGAGCCTTTGGATAACCCTGAATCATCGGATAGCCAGGAATTTGATTCTGAAGAGGAAATTGCTGAGGATTCTGAGGTGGAAGCCTCAGAAACTGCCACATGTGAAGAAACCGAATCTTCTACAGATGCAAAGCCAAGTACATGAAGTTCATTAATATCTGACTCTTAAGAAATACACTGCCAAAGTTTACCTCCACTCTTAGTTCTGTGTAGCAAAATGGTGGAATCACATTTCTTTGACTCCAGGGACCCTATTATTGTATTCAATACTATATATTTTTAATCTATTTTATGTAAATAACATTTTCACTTATTCAGTTGTCAGATATGACTGTATACGACATGATAAATAAACTTCAGTTTCTTATTGAACATTGCATATCTTGAAAGAATGGAGTATGAGAAGTCTATAGAAAATGTGTATATTTCTATGCTATTACATTGTTTGCTTTCTGTTGCTGCTTGGAAAAAATGAGGAAACAATGAATTTATCCCATTTTGACTGAGCTAACTGAAATTTTAATTCCCAAACCTGGCTGAACCTCAGACTTACTATATTAGTGACTTCCAGATATTCTCAGATATTCTTACTGAGTAGTTTTTGCCATAGAGCATGACAGTCTGTTCCCACAAATTTCCCAGAGTGGATCTGATTAGCATGGAAGGGCTGGGTGATATTGTTCTTGACAGACCCTCTACTTTGTTCCTCCCTGAGCCAGGGGTCAAAGAGGATAAAAAACAGACATGGAGCCAGCTCAACATGCAGCAGCCAGAGGACTCGTACCTCTAAGGCAGAGAGGAGCCCAAGCCTTTGGCTTACCTCACTTTTATTCACCCAAACACGGACACAAGTGATCAAAGTAACACAAGATTCATCTGGTTTCCAGCATCCATTGGTACAATTCTCTGGTAAACAGCTTAACCTCAGCTGTCTTAGCTTTTCCCTAATATCCAGTCACCCTTGATTGCAGCCGTTCTTCTTTGTGCTCACAGAGGGCAGTTAGGCCTTAACTCTTCTCTGTTCCTCGACAGGATAGAATGATTTCACAACAGAAAGTCTGAAAGTGCCAAAAGTGAAGATTTTTAAAGTAATCTAAATTAAAATTATAGGACTTCTTCCAAAATTGGCAGCACCATTAAAGTTTCCCAAAATTCAATTTTTTTATATAAAAAGACTAATAATAGTATGTTATGCATCGATAGCAGCTTTTTCCAGGTTCTGCAGTCATCTGAACAAAATTATAGACATTCAGCACATTCCTAATGAGATAATTAATAATGTGAAATAGGAAGTAAAGGGCTAAAGGTGTAGGGAAAGTGGCAAGGGTGGGGGAAAGGTAATAAGGGAGAGGAAAAAAATATGAGAAACTGAAAAAATGGAAATAAAGTGTTTGTAAATGGGGAGGGGAAGAGGGGGTGAAGGGAGGGCAGGGACAAGGGGAAAAAATGAGAACCAAGACCTGTCATGTAAAGGTACAGAATCCCAATGATGAATGTAATTATATTGTATAGCTAGATTGTACCAATAAACGCAATAAAAAGGAAAAAAAATTATAGGACTTCTGTGGCTGGGCGTGGTGGCACACGCTTGTAATCCCAGCACTCGGGAGGCTGAGGCAGGAGGATCACTGTGAGTTTGAGACCAGGCTGGGCTACATAGTGAGTTCCAGGTCAGACTCAACTACATAGACCCTGTCTCAAAAAACCAA